AGTAGTGCGGCAGGCATGTAGTTGTTGGCGCTTTTGCTCCGTTTTTCCTGCCTTCTACCTAACTGTTCTTCTTTAGAATTATCTTTCTGTTTATTCAGATTACACTGTTTAAATAAACAGTTTCGTAACTCTGTGGTATCGCTTCCGATGCTTATTCAGATTCATATTTTGGTGTCTGACGCGCGACAGATTTAGAACCTGTAATTCTGCGACCTAAATGATCCAGAGATTTTTTAGCCTTTGAAACTAAAATGTTTTATCCGACTCTGTTCTTCTATTTTCCTGTGATGCTGATTCCTTTCTAAGGATGCAGTGGACAACGATTTAGAGAAAGATGTGCCGAATCACGTCGATACTCAGACTAAGCGAAAGGTGTGGGAGAAAGCGAAGAAGAAGAAAGGAGGAAAGGCCGCTAAGAACAAAAAGAAGTTTTCCACTATTAAATTTGTGACAGTGCAAAAATCTTTGGAGACCAGACCTGTCGATGCCGTCCAAGTAGCAGTTATCTTAATTTTCGTGTTCGATGTTTATGCTGATTTGGCTTGTGAACCACAGGACAAAACGGGTGACAAATCTCAGCCGCCGGCATCGAATGACGATGATATGAGCGATGACGAAGCTGCATCAGCTTCCGAAAATAGTGAAGATAACGACAAGGTATATATGAGTTTTCACATGAAATGTCTATAATGTCATATTTGTATCTATAGGGTAGTCAAGAGGAGGAATCATCGGAAAACGAATTTCCATTGGACGAAGACATAATGCGCAAAGACAAAATTCTTGAAACTAAGTCTAAAATCACCCACCCAGTACACAGTCCATTTTTCCCAGAGGTGAGTCGCAAACGCGATGAAGTTTTGTTTTTGCTGTGTTAGAAAGGAAATGTTACTGTTTTTTTCTAGGACAAATACGAGTGGTGGTGGGTATATATATGTGATCGAAGACATCGACTGATAGTTTCGCTTCCTGTGCATGTAACAACATTAGTCGAAGAGGAGGAGGTAAGATCCGTCTTTTGGTCATGGGATGCATATCATGCGCGATAAACGCACGTTAGAATGAATTTTGTTTAATTTTTTGCTCTTGAGGCCCTTATCGATGCTGTTCTCAGTTAATAATTCCACTTTCTATTTTCAGGGAATAGTTTAATTCAGTCAACAGAAACGATGTTAGATGTTTGATTTACTACGCGTTTCGTTGCGATGCAACCCGTACACATAAATATAGCGCAGTAGTAAAAGGTATTGCAGAACAGTCCTTCAGATTCACTGGTGGTCGTGAACATCATTTTGTCCCCTGAACAACTTTGTTAATGTAGCCCATTTCTGGCTTACTTAATCGGAGGAATATTCATTCTATTCGATTTCTTTGTTGGCTAATTATGAATGGATTAACATACTACAAAACATACAACTCGTTGAATGGATGCTCTTGATTTTATGCGCGGTCTACAATTGTTGAATGCTTTATATAATCTGGACGATAAGGAATAGATGTTCTTTCGTGTGGACACCCAGTGTTATGAAAGTTTCACCTACTGAAATTTTACTGGACGTTTACGCTTGGTCTTATAGACGATGCTTGAATTTTAAAGTTCAGTTGTTTACCCTCATCAGTAATAAACACCAATAATAACTAATGCCGTTCGATGTTTTGGTTTAGTTACATGCCTCCATACTAGGTGATGTGGATTGAAGGTCAGAACAACGATGGTGGACTACCATATGTATCATCCAGTATCTAGCTAATTAGATTAGATTATTGCTACCAGGAACATTTGATGTCGAAAGTCTGTCGAAAGCATGGCGGATCTTTGTGTAGGACAGGAGAGAAGTAACTGTATTTTTCTTAGGAACGAATCATTTTTTCGACTAATCATAAGAGTCGCTTGTTGATAATATCCACTACCAAGCTTCACTGACAAACATCACTCCGAAAAGATCGATTTAATCCTAGCTCGATAAATGAAGTGCGGCAAATCTCACCAATGGACGGCTCCATGCAGCGCTTACGTCGAAAGATATGGGCCTTGAAGACAGATTGCTTGGCTACGAAAGACGACAACTTTCTTGAAGGAAGGAATTTTCACAGCCAATTGCAGCCAGGTTTTCTAAACGACGATTGCAGTTAACATGTTACATGTTCTCCAAATTGACTACTTGGATAAACGCAAACGGGTACTGCATCATAGCCGACTGAGCCAGTTTAGTATATTGCTTCCGGTTGATCAGTAGGGAAAAAACCTGCTGCGACCTAACAACACTAATGATTTTAGGCCAAATGAATGTGCGGTATCAGGTCATCTGCACAGTTACGTTCGACGAGGATCAGGACAAAATTTGGAAGGAAAAGGTCAGGAAGTACTAAAATTGGATACTGGCCTGAAACAGGGCTATCAGTTCTGAGCACTTCGGAAATGTCAGTTATCATCTTTACTAAAGGCCTGTTACTTGTTACTGAATATAATGAACAGTACATATAAGATGCCAGGTTAATTAATTGGCTATCTGAGTGATTCCTAAAAGTTGTTATTTTAAGTGCAGCACCAAACTGTCTGAAGAATGTTGTGGATTTAAATATAGAATGCGGGGCAGCTGGATGACCTACGTGGTTCTCAACTGCTGCAAGGTTTTGTTCCGTGAAAAAATATAAATAAAGCGGGTATATCAACTAAAATA